GAATAAAATATAATTATGGTAAGTCAAATTGTGCAATGTCTTTGATGACTGATGAAATAATCCATTAAAATTTTAATATAAAAAATAAATTTACATGCTACGAAACAGACATTTGCAAGGTTAATGACTATTTTAAAGCAAACTACAATATAAGAATCTTTTTTTTACAAACCCTCTAATTGTTACAAACCATTCACAACCATTTATCTGGACTAATGATAATATGGTCATAAATATTTTGATCATAATAAATGAATTCTAATAATTTTTATAAATATCTTAATTGTTTGGTTTATAACGGTTTACAAATCATTCGGACTCTACAGTAGGGGTGCTCATGGGTTGGGTTGATCGGGTTGAAGACATTTGAACAACCCAACCCAATGCATGCGGTTTGAAAAATCTTAACACAACCCAACCCAAACCAAAGTGCAACCCAACCCGTATGGGTTAGTCGGGTTGATACTTTGGTATATTAAAATATTTTTTTAACCTTGAATATGTTATTTCTCTACTCATAATTTCTTTTTCATCATTAATCATTTGATTCAACTTATCCATATTTCTTATGTATATCACATTCAGTTAATTTTTTCAATTTACATATATATGTTCACAGTTACTGAGAATATATACGAATGAGTTATATAGAGACGTGAATAAATTGAAAATATGTGTATATAAAGAGCATACATGATAGTGTAATTGTTAATGTATATATTAATAGAAATTCAACAATCATATTAAATCCAAAAAATAAAATAATATCCGGTTCATCGGGTTGTGTTGAGTTCAAATAATAGTAACCCAATATCAACTCAATACCTACGTTTGACAATTTTACAACTCGATTAAACATCGAATTGTTTCGGGTTGAGTTGGGTTGGTCGGGTAGCACCCCTACTCTACAATATAATATAATGGATTAAAAAAATAATAAGGATGAGTCATTTTGGTCAATTTTTGTGTAAATTAAATTATGAATTAAGAGTTTATTTTGGGAAAGTAGAAGACCGAAATTAAGGAGGGAACATGTGGTGGATCAGGTGGGGCCAAGTAAAAGCAATCAGCACTAAGATCCGGAGGCCCACCTGTAAACCGAACCGATTTCAATGGTGCACCAACCTAACGTAACCCCACATTTCACAATTAATCCATGTTTATATCATCATTTTTTTTTCTTTTCACCCACTAAATTATTTTTAAAAATATTTGTTTTAAAATAATCAGTAAATAAAAGATAAAGTGATCGTAAGAAGCCGTCACGTGTTTTTTAAACATGTTATCATGTTAAACTGGTACATGATTCGGTTTTTGTTATAATCACGAACCGAGTATTTTTTTTAATTGATTTTATTTTTTCTCAAAAGCAAATCTAACTAACAAAAACCCATCAATCTTAAACGAACCGCATTAAAACGGAACTGTTTAACTTATATTTGATTTTACACATGTTCTTTGTCGTTGATGCCATGAATATGTGAGTAAAACAACGCCATTTATGATTTAATTTTAATAACATCTGTAATAGATTTTTTAAATGAAGAATCAAAATTCAAAATACATTTAACTTTAACATATTTTCTGTTTTAAAGATTAAAATATTAATTGTATTATGAAAATATTTAATACATTTAACAAAATACTATAATGTTTTAATGATTCTTTCTCTTAAACATATAATTTCAAGGTTTATTATTGGGTGTAATATAATAATAATAATTATTATTATTCATCTTTCTTAGTAATTATTTTCGGGAGCTCTTCAAATTTGAAGAATTTCATATTCTCTTTCGATTTTCTCTATTTTGACGGAAGTTTTGGAAAATCTGTTAGAATAAAAAATAATTAGACAAAATCCCTAAAATCTTCCCTTCCTCCATATATATATATATATATATATATATATAGAGAGAGAGAGAGAGAGAGAGAGAGAGAATTGAGATCATGTGAAACCAAAGGTTTTTTGTGAGACCTGTAAGACCAATTTTCAACCCGTGGATTAGATCTACGATCTGATATTCATAATCACAAAATTGTCACCATGCAACTTTAGACCATTAGATCATTAGCTTATAAAGTTGATCAATGAACATAAATTGGTCTTAAGGGTCTCACATGAAGCAAACCATATATGTATGTATGTATGTATGTATGTATGTATGTATGTATGTATGTATGTATGTATGTATGTATGTATGTATGTATGTATGGGTTTAATCATTTGAGAACCCATGAAATTATGATAATCTTAAGAACTTGTGGATCATGTATTATTGTATGTGATTTTTTTTCAATCTAATAATATTATTTAATGTATTGATTATCATATGTTTGTTTTATATGTATTCATTTCACAATTTGAAACTTTTTTACTAAACACACCAAAAAAGTTTATATTGTGAAACAAGTACATGTGAAACAAATACATTGTCAAACAAACATATGTTAATCAATATACTAAATCCTAGTTTTAGATGGAAAAAATCATATGAAATAACACATGATGTATAAGTTCGTAAGGTTACCATAATTTGTTAAGTTCTCAAAAGAAGGCCATATATATATATATATATATATATATATATATATATATATATATAGTGTATATTTCAAATACAACCATGTTCATTTGTACAACCAATGCAACCTAATTAATTGAGATATTTTTTGAAATGATGAGAGTTTATTTATTATGATTTGAATATTTATGGAATTAAATATGGTTAATTAATTATGATTAATATTTTATATTAGAAAACAATCAAAATTTCTATATTATCACATATTCATCAAATTAAATGAACGGTTGAGATTGGGTTGTAGAGAGAGAGATAGAAATATACAACCGTTCATAAATATTTCAATTAAGAGGTGGGTTATTATACAATCATTTATTTCAATTAATTGGGTTGCATTGGTTGTACAAATGGACATGATTGCATTTGAAATATACCATATATATATATATATATATATATATATATAGAGAGAGAGAGAGAGAGAGATTGTTTCAAATGCAACCCATCATATTTGTACAACCAATGCAACCTAATAAATTGAAATATTTATGAAAATGATAAGAGTTCATTTATTATGATTTAAATATTTATGGAAGATGAATAAGGTTCATTAATTATGATCTATATCTTATATTAGAAAACAATCAAAACTTTTATAAAATTATATATTCATCAAACTAAATGGACGGTTGAAATTGAGTTGTATTGGTTGTATAAATGAGAGAGATTGTATAATAACTCACTCCTCTCTCTCGCTCTATATATATATATATATATATATATATATATATATAACATGTCACGTTTGTTATATGTAAAACAAGATTAATATATAGAACATGTATGTTTGTTATATGTAATGCGTTTTTTGTGTCCGACACGTAGCATAGATACATACACCAAAAAATAGTGCATATCAAATATAGTAAAATTATAAACAATTCATTTAATTTTTAAAAAAACTTTTTTTTTTTTTTTTATAATATGCACTTTTATGGAAAGTTACATAAAAAGAAGAAAAAGTTGTTATAGAGGGATAAAGACGGGCAATAACATGAGCAAAACCTTGAAAATGGTCGTATTGCTATTTTTAGAATATGTTTCGTTATATTTTCCTTTTTAATATTCATAATTTGTTACGACATTAAACATATAAAAATAGAAAGAAAAAATAAGATAAGATAAGTTTGATTTCACAACCAGAAATTATGTAATAATTCTTTTAATAAATTTTTTATTTTATTTAAAATATGTTCAAAATGAGATGATGTCATAAAAGAAAGAGTAAATTATTATTGTGTTATACTGCTGTTATAAGATATTGTTCTGTAATTTATTTATTACATTTCAATTATTATGGTTCAGTTTTCTTACATGTTTGAATCTTTTGTTAGACAACTATCAATTATTATATGTTAAGCAAGGACTCGTGTATGTATGTAGTAACATGTTCGTGAAATCATATATTTTTATTTGTGGCTTCAGAAAAAATCTTGTTATTTATCTGATGATAAGTATCATAAAGTTATTGTTTTTTCTAAGTACAACTCATATATGCATATAATACTCGGAAAAATACGATAACTCCTTGATGTTTGTCTCATAAATAACCAATTTTTGTGCATGTAGTTATGCGGACCTGGCCGTTACAATTGCAGATTTGTGTTGAATTTGATTTTTTTTGTCTTTTAGCTAATATTTCGAACCTAGCTAATATTGTCGACCTGGATATTACAAAAGCAGTAACATTTAGATTAATACGAAAAAAGAATAATTAGAAAATAAATTTAAATGTGAAAAATGATGATCTGACTCAATTTCCATTTAATGTTTGTTTATGTTTTGTTTTGCTTTTTGACCAAGTTTTATTATGGGCCAAATCCTTTTCTATTATTTCAATTGAGATCATGGTTTATTCTTTTGATTATATATTTTTTGGATCATGACTTTAAAGGTATAATTATAAGATATAATTATATTTAATGATCATAAAGATTGCTATTTCGTTTATAAAAATATTTTTAATAATCACAAGGGTGGTGTCTGATTGGTTTGAGCTTGATTTCAAAAGTCAAAAATACTGGGAAGTCACATGTTTAAATCCAAGTAGAAATAAAAATTTTCTTGTAAGTATGGAGGTTCAAATGCGATAACTCCGGCTATCTGTAAAATAAGTGATCATTTTGGAATTAGTCAGTTTACGTAACAGATTGGATATTCAGGTTAATAAAAAAAATATTTTTAATTGATAAAGGTAAAAAAAAAAAAATGCAGAAAAGACAAGGAAAACCCATAAATCCTTCTTCTATACCTTTCTTATGTGCAGTCTGTACTCTGCTGCATTCACACAGAGTCTCTCTCTTACCCGCCTTCTCGTTTCGCTCCTTTCATCACCCATGTGAAATGCACGCTCCCACCCTCTCTCTCTCTCTCCATCTATATATACAATTTCTAGACCGGTTCCTTGCTTTTTCTGTAATAAATTTCATACAAGAATTGATTTCAAGAATTTGGGGTTCCTTAGATTTCATTTATGGAGTGAGATTGTCATTTGCTAACATCAACAGTAACTGCAGAATGAAGAAGAATCCCTTTTTCTTGTTGTTCTTCATCGTCTTCATCACCTCTGTTTCATCTCTTTCTTCACATTCACAAGATCAATCCAAGTTCATATTAGGTTTGCTCGTCATCCTTTGCGTTTCTTGTGCTGCATTTATGGGGGTTTTTTTGTATGTTCATTGATCTGTGGTTCTAGGTTGATCGTTATTGTTTTCTGATTTAATGAGTTCTGCCGACAAGGAAATTATTCAGAATTTTCCCGAAATGGGTTAAATGTTGGAGATTCTTGCTAATATTTCTTGAAAATTGGGAATGTTTTGTAAATTGATTTGTCGTTTTCTTGTCATATCCATATCTGCCACCATTAGAGTTCAATTCATAAGATTCGTATAGATTAAAAAATTTATTAACAGTTCCTGAGCCAGAGGAAGTTTGGTGAGTTTTGGAATTGCTGATTTTAACTTGTATTCTTTGGAATTATGCGACCTGTATTTGGAATCTGGATCACTGTGATGTACAGACAATTGGGTCATTTTCAGTATTAAAACTGCTAGAAATTTGGAGCTCTTTATCCAAATTCTGTCATGGGAACATGGATTAGCAACAGTTGTTAGAACTTGTTTATGGAATGATGAGTGGTACCATTGAATTTGCAAGTCCTTTTGAGCTCATACCATTGTTACTTATAGGTGAGGATAGCTTGGGTCATTGGAGAAATGGCATCTTAAGCTCATCGGCTGCAGCCGAGGCTCCTGGTCCAGCCAATGACCCATCCAGCACACTTGTGCTGGCTGGGTCAAGGACTAGAAGGCTCGACGTTCTTAACCATTTCAAGCGTTATAGAGGTGGATGGGACATTACCGATAAACATTACTGGGCGGTAAGTCATACCCTTGATTAAATTCACTGATCCATTCCAAAATGCCATGGTTTTAGCAATTTCTCAATTCTGATCCAATATGACATTCCAAAAACCAACAAAAGAATCTTGAAAATCAACAAATTGGGTCGTTTTCGTAATTGAAATTATTAAAAAGCTGGAGCTTTTTATCAGAATTCTGTCAAGGGGTTTGGATGAACATTGATTAGCAGCATTTGCTCAGATCTACTCATGAATCATGATTTTCAAGATGCTTTTGTTTGTTTTTGTTGATTTTTCAAGATTCTTTTGTTGGTTTTCAATATGCTTTTGTTGGTGTCATTCATACATCCTTCTGTTGTTCAAAGATGTTAAAGTAACATACATGAACTCACGTATATTGTAGCGGAAAGTTCATATGAGAACCATTAATATTTTGAGATTCATAAACCAACTTTTTCATGAATTATTCATAATGAATAACCGTGAATAATCATGTATTTTCAATCTAGCTACTTATCGTCATGGATATCTATCACGGCATTCATTATGAATAAAGCAACAAGAGTTGCTTCCCTGTTTCTCAAAATATTTACGGTGCCCCCATTAATGTGTCATCATTTTTAATGACATTATATACAGTCGGTTGGATTTACAGGCGCTGCTGCATTCATTCTTGCAATAGTGTGGTTTATCTTCTTTGGATTAGCCATGATCATCCACCATTGTTGTGGATGGAGGATAGACATCAAAGGCAAAGAATCCCGTGGTTCTCAAAGGATATGCCTCATTTTGCTTCTTGTTTTCACATGTGCTTCAGCGTAAGCATCTCAACTCTCATCTTTTCACCATAATTCCGTATTTCATGTTACTTTGAAGTAGATATCAGGTCTGCATACATTCCCTCGGACCCCACCTTTGGGTGGGATGTACTGGGTTTGTTTGGTTTGATCTGTATCTCATGTCACACTCATTAACACAAATCTTGTTGCTACACAGGATCGGCTGCATACTTCTTTCAGTGGGACAAGATGAATTTCATGGCGAAGCCATAGAAACGTTAAATTATGTTGTAAACCAATCAGATTACACCGTACAAACGCTCATAAATATCACGGGATACTTGTCGCTGGCAAAGTCCGTTAATGTGGCCCAAGTTTTTCTTCCTTCAGATGTGAAAGACGATATTGACAAGTTGAATGTTGACTTAGCCAACGTTGCGGGCACATTGAGGCAGAAAACAGACCAAAATTCGCAAAAAATAAGAACCGTCTTTGATGCTGTGTATGATTCCTCCTACGAAACATGACATATCTTCGCATTTAGTTTGGATTTTTAAATTTGTGTTTCATTTGTTTCAGGCGATCATCGATGATTGCTGTTGCAGTAGTGATGCTTCTAGTTTCGCTTTTAGGCCTTTGTAAGTATTCATCAGAAATTGGTTTATTGCCTCATTTTTTTTCAGTTTTCTGCTTCTGTTTATACAGATTTCATTGTATTTTTTCTGGTTTTATGGCAGTTTTATCTATACTCGGTCACCATAACGCAATCTACATGTAATGTTTCTTTCTTTCGGTTTTTTCGCTCATGTTTTGTGGGCGTGATTGTATCTTATTCATCGCTTCTCTTTCTGCAGATTCATTATCGGTGGATGGTTACTTGTTATGGTTACGTTCATTCTATGTGGAGTTTTCGTGATTATTAACAAGTAAGATAAATAGAAACTTAGCATTCGTTATTTCCTCTCTCATAAAACGTTGCACGTTAAAATTATGTATTTTCCGACTATAGGATCAACAGCAAGGTGTTAAGAGGAAGTAATAGAACTTAACAGTAGCAAATTGTCTTATTAGCCCTTTTATACGACACTTGTTGAAAAAGGTTTCATCGAACATTTTTCAAGAAGCGTCTCTGAAAAACGGTTTACTTCTTGACTTCCAACTTTGTCCTAACAACTTATTATAATGTTTTGGTCTAAACAATCGTGGAATCATGAGTCTGGATGCAAGAAACTAACGAGCCAATGTGTTCTCAGCGCAATCTCGGACACTTGTATGGCAATGGGACAATGGGTAGATAACCCACATGCCGAAACTGCCCTTAGCAACATCCTTCCATGTGTCGATCAAGGAACCACTAATGATACGCTGTATAAGAGCAAATTAGTCGTTAATGATATCACAAATATCATCAATGGGTTCATCGGTACCTTTGCCAACTCAAATGCACCTCCCGGAGTCAACTCTAATTACTATAACCAGTCGGGCCCTCTGATGCCGTACCTATGTTATCCGTACGATTCTCGGCTGCAAGATTTGGAATGTCCTTCACAAGAGGTTTCGATGGCAAATGCCTCTGTGGTATGTAAACTGAACTCCTTTTAAGTTTATATATGGTTTGACTATAAAAGTCAGTTTAAGCTTCCAAAGACTCTGGTGTTGATGTTATGATTACCTTCCAGGTGTGGCAGAAGTATACTTGCAGCGTTTCTGAATCAGGATTTTGCACGAGCAGCGGAAGATTGATACCGGAAATGTATCAGCAACTAGTGGGAGCGGTGAACATAAGCTACGCCCTTCAACACTACGCACCACCGTTGCTGAGCTTTCAAGATTGCAATTTTGTACGTGAAACGTTCAGGATCATCACTTTGGATCACTGTCCGGCGTTAGAAGATCGGCTGCGAATGGTGAATGCGGGTTTGGGTCTTGTGTCCGTAGGAGTCATGCTCAGTCTCGCACTTTGGATTGTATATGCAAATCGACCTCAAAAGGAGCAGATGCGATGGGAAGTGAAGCTTGAAGATGTTAGAATTTAAGATAGTTATGGTGCCAGATTCAAGATGGAGCAAAGCACCATTCTGGGTTTTGAGCTGCTGCCGTATAAATGTATATTAATTACTGGTTATGTGTCGATTACACGGAATAAGAAAAATGAAGGAAATTTTGATTGTTTGGATAAACAGCTTATACGGTGCCAAACCGGTAATAAAGAGTTTTTGAAAAAGTTAAACCCTTCTGACTTATAATAAGTTGATAAATGTTTTTGTAGAAAAATACAAGTTGTTCCAAATAAGCAATTCCAAACAAATATTATTGCTGGTAATCATCTCTTACCTGGTAAATGTCAGCACCCTCACTTACTGCTAAATTTACAAACAAATACTATTACCATACAAAATTCAGAAACTATAACGAAATATTCTCAAATTTACGGTACAAAGAAAACTCTAACTATTTAATGAAGAAGACAAACAGCCATGGACGGACCTACCATGGTGGTTACGGTGGCACGTGCCACCGTATTATTTCTCCGTCGAAGGGTAAAAAAATTTAGGTTCGTGAAAGGTGCAACCGTATTAATCTGTTGTGTGCCATCGTATATATTTTGAAATTACAATGAGAATAAATTTTATTTGGTATAGTTGATTTGCAAAGATTTTATTTCACTGAAGACCCAAATTCAATTTGTTAGTTAAATAGTGCCACCGATTGAAAAAAAAATTCGTATATTTGTTTCTTATAGTCAACCGGTGCCATTGTTTTAAATTTTTTCTCTATTGTTTTTTTTTTTTATAGTCAAATGGTGTCATCGTTTGAAAAAAATTATGGATCCATCCCTACAAACAGCTAAAGAGCGAATTAAAAAGAGTTCTATTTTGAAAATTGAATTGTAAATATTCTAAACTGAAAATTGAATTGTAAATATTCTAAAATCAGCAAACCAACTGCTTTTATACTCCCAAAATTTTACTTTCAGTCCTTCAACTTTCTGAACTCTAACTTCTCTACCCTCCAGATTTAAACATATTTGTAAGCGCAGTCCCTCAAACTTTCTGCTTTGTTCACATTATCAACCAAACCATTTAACACCTGAAAATTACAAACTAAACCAAAAATTAATATATTTTGACATTAGAAATGTCAAGATTGAATAGTTCATACTGAGTTTTAACATCCTCCCTCAATCTTGATATTTAAAAGTATCAAACATATTCAATTTAGAACACAAATAAATTATGTTGATTTACACCAAGAGATTTTGTAAAAGTATCGGCTGGATGTTCAGATGACTAAAATTTTACAGTTTTTTATACACCTGCCGCAATTTTTTCTCTTACTTGATGTACGTCAATTTCTATATGTTTGGTTCTTTCATGAAAAACTGGATTGTTAGCAATTTGGATAGCCGGTTTATTATCACAAACTAAGCTTACAGGAAGTAAATCTTTTATGTGTAAATCGGCCAACATAAGAAGAACCCAAATGACATCACAAGTAGCTGAAGCCATAACTCTATACTTGGACTCAGCAGAAGACCTAGAAACAGTTTTATTGTTGTATTTTGTTTCTTGCTTCTCCAAGATATTAGACAATTTCCAAAAAAAATAAACAATATTCAGTTACGGAGCGTCTAGAGGAAAGACGTTTGTCCCAATCAACATCAACAAAAGCGTTAAGTTTTAAATCAATAGACTTAGAAAAAATTAATACCTTTGCGAGAAGACGTTTTCAAATACCTTAAAACTCTAAGAGCAAGTTTAAGAAGAACGACGACGTGAGTACATGAACTGACTTAAACAATGAACAACATACGCAATGTTAAGTCTAATGGCAAGAAGATATATTAAACGACCAATCAATCTTTGATAACCAGAAAAATCAGATAAGGGAGGATCAAAGGATGCAGATCCGGGAAAACTGGTATTTATCAGGACCAGTTATGACCAGGGGCGGACCTACAGTCAGGGGAATAGACATGGTGATTTGCCCCACCGCATTGCTGAACCCAGTTCAGCCACCCCATTCAAGGCCGGGGGATTCCCCATAAAAACTAGTAATGGATCCAGGGCTAAGGATCCCTGATATGTTGAAAACCAGGGTCAAGTAATGTATTCCCTAACCTGCCCTGCTCCGTATGTATATATATTAATTAATTTTTTAAACATGTATTGTATAATATATTATATTTTTCAACCATTTATTGTTGAATCAAGAATAGGCAACAAAAACCGGGGAGGAGATTCGATTTCCCGTACCTGTCGGAGATAGGGATTGCATTCCTCACCCCTCCGTCTCATTCGAGATGTATCTTGTTGCATTGTACGGGTAATCTTTTAGTAAACCAAAAAATTGAAAAATTCTCAGCCCAGCCCAGCCCTGAAAAGGTTATAGGCCCAAATACCTTACCCATTTGATTTGATTCTTTGACATCCATCGAATTCAAATCGACACTCAGGCGACTCAACTCTCATCCTCTCCGGTCTCCGACACTAGCTCCGGCCTCTCTTTTTAGGTTAGGGTTTCAAATTATAGAATCTTTCATTTGAGAAATTAATTAATTGCGATTTTGTTTGAGAATTCATCTGTTTTATTTGAGGATTTCATCACTTGTGTTTTTGTTTGTTTCAATCGATTGCTATTTGCTTGTTTCCACTAATTTGATATTTGCTGTCTTCATAGATCACATACCTTGATATTATGCAGACTGTTGAACCTAAACGAAACTCACAGAAAAACTTTTATGTCAAATTTATGCGCAATCAAGTAAAGCCATGTCGATAAACCTCAACAAAACTCTCTTATTGTTGATGGACCTAAATGCAACTCTGTAACTGTTTCTGCTGATGAACTTCTCTATGAACTTTTAGGTAACTTGTAGATGAAGTTAGTAGAGCATATCTTTTAGAAACCATGATTTACCTTGCACTGTATTTGGTTGAATCTGTAAAGGTTGTTGTTTCATCAATTTAATATCCTTGTTTTGGTAATTTTCAGACATTGTGACCATAGCCTTTGTACATCATTTTTGGCTAATCCACCACTTCAAAAAACTATGAGTTGCACTTGGGTCTATTCTATTGTAATAAGCACCAACAAATTTGTTTAGACCTTTATTGATGAAGTAGATTGCAGCAGCTGAATTGATAACATGCAATCCCATAGAGTTATCACATCCTGCAACTACATGTCATTTTGTTAAGATCAACTATGATATTGTTTGTCCATGAGATGCTTATGTGCATCTAAATTTTGTTCTTTGGTTTAACATCTTCTTTTTTAAATTTATAGAAAGTATATGTCTGTTGATGTATTAAAATTGCAAGAAAGACCCCCCACCTTCTAATAACCTTACAAAGTTGCAGGAAGATGAAATATTATATAACTCTGTCCTCTTCCTTCACAGGACAACACCACTGAAAACTCAATCTAACAAACAACTATCAAATGATAATTAGATTCCTTCATGTCCCTCCAATACCTCAATCATCCCAAAACCCTACAAAAATCCACCACAACACCCTTAAGAAAACTTCAGTAAGTCCTAAAAATGGAGTCCTTACTGCTACTGCACCACCGCCTTTGGTCACCACAGACTCCGGCCTCCGTTTCAGGGAAAAGATTCTCTATCTCAAATCCCTGAAAGTAAACCCTGCAAAAGCCCTACACAGAAACCCAAATTTCCGATCAACCTCACTCCAATCCCTAAAATCTGTGGAGAAATGTCTCTCATCAATGGGAATCGAACGTTCAGAATTCGGCCGTATCTTCGATATGTTCCCTCAGCTGCTCACCTGCGATCCCGACACTGATCTTTACTCTGTATTTGGCTTCTTATTAGATGACGTGGGTCTCCATTTCTTTGACATTCGAAAATCCATTCTTCGGTGTCCTAGACTTCTGATCTGTAGCGTAGAAGATCAATTGAAACCCACATTGTGGTTCTTGAGGAAATTAGGGTTCATGGGCTCCAGCAAAATCACCTCCCAAACGACCATGCTATTGGTTTCAAGCGTAAAGAGCACACTGATGCCCAAATTGGATTACTTGATGGGATTAGGGTTCGAGTATGAAGAGGTGGCTAATATGGTGTTAAGATCTCCTGGGCTATTGACATTTAGCATTGAGAATAACTTCAAGCCAAAAGTCGAGTTCTTTCTGAATGAAATGAAGGGGGATTTGGGTGATCTCAAGAAGTTCCCACAATATTTTTCGTACAGTTTGGAAGGTAAGATTAAGCGGCGGCATCGGTTGTTGGTTGATCAAGGGGTTTCTGTACCATTGTGGGAAATGCTGAAGGTTAGTGATGGAGAATTCACGGCTCGGTTGATTGAGGCCAGGCTACGATTAGGTGACAAGCGATGATGGTTTCTAAGTAAGTTCATCCTTCTAATCTGGCAATCTTTAGCAAATGAAGTTCATTATTCTTGTTTTTTGAAGTATATGAAATTTATATACGGCAAATACTCATGCACGTTGTTCACCTTTACCGAGGTTTGAACCCTTGACCTCCTGGAGGCCGAGTTCCAGTTGTAACCTAGGTACCACTAGGCCAATAGCCCATCTGGTTCATTATTCATGTTCTTGTAGCATATAGTAAAGTGATCATGCCTTGGCATACAATATTGTTCAAATTTGCTTGATAAAGTTTTGCTTTTTTTTCCCAAAGGGTATACGGAAATCATAATTAAGTTGTCAAATTTGTATTGCTTGTTTACCGATGCATCTTTTTTAACATACCATATTGATGCATATGTATATGTGATTCAAACCCATGACGTTTAGGCTATTACAAGCAAGTTGAGCCAAGTCGGTTGGGGCTTAGACGACAAAAAAGCATCGTTGCTTGTTTCCATTTCCATATCTGTAAAGAAACCCTAGTTCTTATGAACCAAGATCGGTTTGCCAGATATCAAACCTTCTTTTGTTGAAAAGGTATGATGGGTACTGTTGATTCAATTCATTCGATTTATTAACCTGTCTTTTACAATCAGAGTTTTGTGAAGAGGGTTTTACATTAGGATTTATTATATATAGATTGTTTCGATTGTATCAATGGACGATCTGGAGAAGGCGATACTCATCATCTTTGATGAATTGGGGACATTTACATCGGAACTGAAATCACAGGCGGTTGTATTCTCTAAACAAATCAAAAGATAATCCTTCTATATGTAGTATTTTGTATCGAATGATTGTGTTTTCTGAAACTGGTTCATGTTCAGTTCTGGTGTTTGCACAAAGTTTTGCATGGTCTCGTTTGTAAATGAAGTTTGATTTTAGTTATGAAACTCCGTTCATATTTGCTATTGTGGTTGGATGATTAGATGTAAGTCGATAGAATTTGAATGTATTTAAAATTGATGATGATAATATTTTAGTTAAAATGAATTGCTAATTTATAATTTAGATGTAGATTTTGTAATGATAATGAATAAATAGACAAAAATTGTATAAATGTATATAAATTCAATATTATCATATTTTGAAGGGTAAAATAGGCTTATGTAAATGGTTGAAGCTCCACAAGGTTGTGATCAAACCGAAAGAAAATGTTTATTCATTTTTGTAGACCGAAACAAATGGCATAACAACTTTGCTTACAAATTTGTAACTGAACTCTAATTGTTCAACAAGAAGTCACTATTTTTTGAAGTAAACCTTGTGATTTTCGGCATACTTGTGTACAATAAGGAGCAAAGTGAACCCAAAAATGATATCACTCTATTCTTTCAAGTGTTCCTCGATTTGCACCAGTGCCTGCCAAAGATGTTTAACCAACTCAGCATGAGGAATATGTCAACATTTTGCAATTTGGGAACTAAACAACATACTACTCCCTCCATCCATCCATCCCAAATAAATGTCCAAAATGAAAAGGCATAGTTCAAGATAAAACTGTTATCTTCAAATGGGATTAGTTCATGTGGGCATAAGTTGACACGGATATCAAAAAACGGAAGGGCACAAAGGATAACAGGAAATGGTATCCTACAGTCTTGTTGCCTAGTTAAGTACTATTGGCTGCAAATTCACCAATATCCATTAAGTTGTGTGTGTGTGTGTGTGTGAGAGAGAGAGAGAGAGAGAGAGAGAGACCTCAATTGCAATCTGAGTTGGAGTAACACTGCATACATCTGCTTGTCCTAACTTGGCTGCAATACCTGCAAAACCATCATTTCCCCTTTAGTATTTGGCATTTATGAGAGAATAGGTAAGTAAATTAATACAAGGAAAAGCAAAAAGGTTTTAAGGAGATCAATCTAGGTTGTCAAATTTTAAGAAGTCAAGCTCAGGTTACTTAATCGAGCAAGCTAAGCAATGAACAAGGTTTGGTATGGTATTAAGATCATGTTTGCAACCATATGCTAGTTTTTTGGAGATGTCCCTAAACCAGAAGAACCCGAGAAGTGTCTTTCAGAAAACTGGGAGGGCAAGGCTGCCTCTCGATAACCTATAGTTTTTTTAAGGAAACTTCTAGACAGTGAAAACAGATAAGCAAATATATGCATGCATGTATGTGTGTGTGTGTATATATATGTAAGAAAAGGAAGTGTATACATACGCTCCAACGAGACCCTCACACGGGCATTAGTGTAAGCTTCACTCCTTTCCTCCCAAAGCATAGATAGTCGCTTGAAAGTCTACACATAGCGAGACAAATCAAATACCAATCTAATATGCCCAAATATCATCAAGGGGCTCAAACTTGTTTCCAAAATTTAGCATGGAAAAGAACATACGTACCTGTACGTAAGCATCACCAGATCCATGATGCAAAAGTGGGCGAGAAGCAGTACCTATAGCAGTTATTCGTTGTGCTAATGCATCCAGGGGTACATCTATAAAGATACTAATACCCTTGTGCATGTATTTCCTGACAGTAAAAGGTTGTTGCATGATATTTTACTGAATTAGGCACAATGGAAAGCCCAAAAAAGAGAAGAAGAAACATAGTACATCCGATGCCATACCAATTGATAGGCCGAACAACAGCACCCCCTCCAGTAGAAATAACAAGTCGACGCATCAATGACAGCTTATGCAATACCTCAGTCTAAAGAAAGAATAATGCAATTAAAGAAGAGTATAGCAAATGAAGGAAAGAATGATAAATGAAAATTTGTGGAATTAGTATGTAGTATTTCCCACATCCAATTTTCATTTTCTGGGTCACACATACAGTTTGCCTCACATTAGGCAAATGAGACCCTAAGCTTGCAAAACCAAAACCAAAAAATAAAACAAAACCAAACCAAACCAAACCAAACGAACTAGTATATCCCACCTGAGGTGGGGTATGGTAAGATGTATGCAGACCTGACTTCTACCTCAAAGAGTAGAACAGCATAGACCCATAAGTTTGCATCAAATAAGTATGACCCACCATGACATTTTAATTTTTCCTCACACCATGTATATGTGAGCCACAAAATGGATAATGATAAATGGCCAAAACATATCGATCACTTTAGATACATGGCCATAGGGCGTATGGTACCATACAACTAACCTCGTTATCTCTGAAAAAGCTCTCACCATGCAACCTAAAGATGTCAGCAACTGCAGTTCCCCCAGCAGCCTGCTCTATTAATTTGTCACTGCAGGCATCTAATACGCGAATGTTATCCCATTGGCAGGCAATATAATGCATGGTTATTTGGGTTAACAGATTGTGGATTAATATACAGATTTGAGATTGAGTTAAAGCGACATATAATAAACAAGCAAGCTTGCCACAGACCTGTCAAAAAAAGAATAATCAAGGACTTCAGACAAGATCTGTCCAATTGTTGTTTTTCCAGATCCCATCATTCCTGCATTCATATAATATATATGAATAAGATAGTATAAAAACTTTGACAAATTTGAAGACAAAATGTCACTAGAACTGACCAACAAGATAAATACACCTTCCATTCAGATATGGCTCGATCTCCTTGGACTTCTTCTGCAATTCGAACATCTCTTAGTAAATGAATATAGAAAGTTTGGAAGGTTTATAACACAACTTTCTTCTATCTAGAAAACCAACTCAAACATCCAGGAAGCATACTATTATTTTGTAAATTACAATAGAAGACATTATGCACTCCATGGTAATAGATGTGGTTCTCTTTTTCATAATGTTTTTATGGATGTAAAGCTTAAGCAACATATTTGTGTTCATGTTCAGACGATCAGGAAAAAATTTGAACAGCCCATAAGTTTAGCTTTATACATGTAACACAAGAAACATTGTATAACATTGAATACCTTCAATACTAGATCTTCCTCAGAGGTAAAAGTTCCAGACTCGACTAGTGAAGCTACAAGAGGAATTTAAATAAAGAAAAAAATGTTAATACAAATAAATTACTCGTATATTTCACAAAGCAATCTGTTCCAGACTCAAGTACTGAAGCTACCTCTTATAACAATGTTACCCTATTTTCCAAAAAAGATGTACTTATAAACTCTCATTTCAGTCAACGAAATTACACACTCAATAGCTTCTTATGATACCCAGGATTGACATTGTATGTATCTTCTCACTATTGTTTCTACTAACAATACGTTGGGGTGCATTAGTTAAGACAAGGTGGAAAAGTGAAATGCTGTTAGGCCATTAAAAATTATTTGAAGGCCGTCTACATGCATAGATGTTCAAGAAGGTAACCTTCAGCAACAGCCTTGTGGAAGTGATGAATGCTGATAAGTATATATTATTTATCAATCCCAAATATGCTTACAGCAACTAAGACTTTATTGCATATGTAGTTTTACAAAAGAGAAACTGATGTATTCTTCTTTTAGAATACATTGAAAAGATTCCCAACTAAACTTCTGAAATGGTATCAAGCTGCCATCAACCTAAATGTCATTAGATATCTCAATAACTTATTCTGGTTTCATCAATGTATGTGCAACCACAGCAATATTAAAGGTGTTTTAATACATCATACATGTCCTTGAGACAGACACAACCTTGCTTTTTCCCTTTTCTCGTCTGTGTGTCTATGCAGTTTTAACAGACAAATTCACCAATGAACAGATTAGACTACCTGTTTGAAAATTTAAATACATAAAAGATAAGCCTGTGGGATCAATTGGGTGAGGTCGAAGCCTAAAGCATGATAAGCTCTGTCTTCGAAGCACATAGATACACATACGCAATGTAGTATGGGACTTGAAAAATAGCAAAGATAATGGCACATATTTTCTGGGCTCCCTGTTGCTCCTCTGTTAATTTGTAATGGCCCCATGAGCATAGAGTACTTAAGACAAGGACGAAGGGACTAAAAACTCTAAATTATATGCTTAATGGGATATCTTCAAGTTTTTCTATAGTGGAAATCATTAGAAAGTTTTTAGACTTTACTCTTATCATTTATCGAGTGCCACAAGATTAGAGCTACTATTCTGCTATTTTAAACTCCCACAAAGCATAGACATTTAGATACCAAAACTTTGATATACCCAAGCCAGTGTAGATCAATTTACATCTGAAGGCAATAAATAACGCCTGCCATTTCTTTTTTTGACTATATAATTTCTCATTTACTTGTCTCATGGTTGGACTATGACGAAATACCTGGGGAGTTCTGAGAAGTACATGAAGCCTTTAACCCCGCTTGTCTATGCCCAATCGCTGGTTTTATAGTTCCCAAATGATTGCATTTGAGCATATTAAGCCTCTTCTTTTTCTCAAACCTTGTACATAACCTCATGGAGTTGCTCACTGTGGGAACCGCGTTGTCTGAACTAATCCATGTTGTCAAGCGTAAGCTTTGAGAAACTTTGGCCTCCATTCTTTCGAAATCCAACAATTAGAGATTTCTTTAAATAGAAAGACCCTTATATTCCTCGCGTCAACACTACCAGCCCTTTCTAATCAGCTTGCCTGCAAAAGCAAATCAATCGATAAACCATCCATTCTAATGCCAACAGACAAAACTTGAGCATTGTACTTGTAACCCATGGGGAAACTCCCAAAAGGAGAATCTAATACTGTAGATGAAATCCTAAAACCTTGACATTCATTTTAACAATGGCACAACCACTGATAAAAAGTGAAGTAAAAAAATATCTACTGAAAAAACGTAACCAAGATTTTTAGCATGGCTGACTTCTACCACCAATACCCAAAGCTAGAATTGATAAACTAGTTCACAATAAAGTTTGGTACACTTTTCTGTAATAGATTCCCTATCCCTGGAAGACATTTCCATTACACAAAATTCATTACCTGCCGTTTCATACAACATCCAGAAAATGAGTCATATCAAGAAGTTTCATAAACATATATAATACTTCACAATGAGAATTGCGATGCCTTCATCTTGCGACAACTTTTCGTGTTAGAATTACCTATTTGTCCATCATTGTCTTCAAAAGTACATTGATCTGAGTCTACAAGATCCCTCTCTTTGTTTTTGGTTTTTTTAAGAGTTCCTCTCTTTGTTTTTACCTAAAGGTATTCTAGATATTTTACAGGCAATCAAACAATTTCCATAAACCATGTGAAAAAATGGAAAACTTGAATTGGAAAGATGAAGTAGAACAATCAGGATTTGATATAGCTACAATTTGTGGAACGCTAATACTCAAGTGAGAAAAATCTAAAGAGGGGCAATCACAACATAAACGAGTAGTCAATTTTTTCCACAGAAAATTTTCTTGTTAATTTTGATGTTAAAGGAAAACCCATGTGATACATACAATCTTTCATAGATACTCCCAGCATTGCCATATGTTTGTCGGATCTTTTACCTTCTCATAATGTTAGTTGTTTGGCTAGTTTGGAAACAATCAAGCAATAATCCACCTTTCTCTTTCTATCAAGAAAGTTCAAAGATTGCATCGCTTACATGGTTAAATTGGAATAAAATTCATCATAGTTACAAGTTGCAATCAAAAAAATTGCACTCCTATATCAATATGTCAAAAGCTTAAACCAGTAACATTAGGTAGAAAACCATGGAGAAATCTGGAAGAATTGAAGAAGTGGAAGAAATCATACCTGAGAAATGGATCGTGTGTGGAGGCGATGTGAAGAACTGGAAGAGAAAGGTGTTGATGAATCTTCAACCTGATTCAGCACAGAGAATCGATGGAAACGAATTTTAACGTATACCTCCCTACCTACCAAGTTTCAACCTGAATGGATTTATAATGAGTTTGGTTTGAGCTTCTTCCACCAACCCCCACCCCCACCCCCACCCACACCTCCACCAACCCGATAAAAATGGCATTTCAAATTCATGTCGTAAATCACTCTAAATCTATACTACTTTATTTATTAAAAATCCTAAAAACAATTTTTAATAAAAACAACTCATAATATATTAAGTACTTTATACATTTGATCTTAAAATCTATTATACAATTTAGTCTTAAAATTTATTATACAATTCAATCTTAAAGTCGTTTAAATTAGTTGGATTTTAAATATATTGAATTTTAAACTTTCATACAATTTTTTTCATCGATAGACTGTAATTGAAACCATAACTCTTATTTATTCAAATTGTATCAATATGTAAAGACCCAAGTGTAACTTATATCATCGTTAAATATTCTCTAATAAAACCAATGAAATTTCAAAATCGTTAAAATTCACGGCTCCCGCCGCATTGCACGGATGCACTACTAGTAAATCTAAAATAAAATAAAAAATCTGATACGTCTCATCATTTGGATATGTTGACTTTTTTAATTTAAAATGTTCCATTAAAAATTTATTTACCTCTTAATAATTCCATTAAGAGGCAGTCTCTGAATCGTTAAAATGTGAATCTTGTTTGACAAAAAAAAAACGTTTCTTAATGGTTCTAAAACTCTTTGAATGATTTTGTATCATAGGTCTCCCTTGACCATTCAGCACCCTAATTCTATTATAAACAATTACCGAACAATTATATTTCATCTTACACTATATCATGAAAATCTCTTAATTATTCTGACCACTTAATCATTCAGCAACGGTCAAACAGCCCCTAACTTTATAGAAATAAATTTCACAAATATAAACCAAAACAAAATACACCTACTAGGTATGTCAACTCAGATGTATTATTTCAAGAAATTCTGTTTAAAGTATTAACAAAATTAAGAAAAACAACTCCTCACAACCATTAGAAAAAAGAAAACTCATGTCCCAAATCCAAACCCCACTTCATCTTCTTTCAATGGAAAAATAAGACATTAGGATGAAATACATTGAATAAAACCATAAAACAGTGGATCCTTGAAAAAGGGTGGGTAATAATGTCATTATACATCCTCCTTCCCTTCCATGAAATGGAACTTTGCAAGAATTATAGACAAAAAAATTGTCTGTACACAATAATCACCAAACAAACCCAATATATTTCATTTAAAAGTAAGCTCTCAGGAGGATTAAATGTATGCAGACCAGTCTTCCATCTCAAGCAGTGTAGCAATTGTTTTCGAGCAAAACGAGTCTATCCTCCCAAAACTCGAAAACCTTCTTATGTCATCTGTTTTCATTGTATGTTTCATTTGCTCTTCACTACATCCCTCCATGCCAGATACATACTGCAAGCTTTTCAAGGTTTATGTTGTGCATAGATTGATGAGCGAACGGAATGGTGAGGAGAGACGGCTTTCCCATTTACGTGCACTTGCTCCACAAAATCCACACGTACTGATCTAAACTGATAACGCTGTTTGCAAAAGTTGTAAATGAACATTATGACACGCTAGGAGCATATACAAGCAAGTCGATCTGATTCAATCTTGACTCTGAGAATATGCGGAACTCCATAAGATTATTCTCCAAAAGACCAGAGAGAAGAAAGGTTCCAACATATATTGAGAAGAAAAGGTCCAAGTCTAGCCGATGTGAGACCGCAAGCTAACCATCTTTCTTGGTTTCAAGTTTTCTTGAACCAGACCAAACCATAAAACCAAATCGTCAGCTTTGGGTTTGTTCGGATCCATGGTCTAAATCTTTGTTTCCATAAATTAATCTGGATTATTTTTTATAAATAAATGTAAGATGAATCGATTCGGCCCAGAAATTCGAAACCAGCTACGGGTTGCTTGTTACGGTTACACCCCTACAATATGTTTTTTGAGTGCAGGTGCTTCAAATTCATGTTTAGATTCTCAGAAAGAACAAACCTTCCCATTCCATGAAAAATCATTGTTGCGGAAGCATGGATCCAACAGCGTGATCTGGTCACCTTCTTTAATCTGTACAAGAAAGAGATGACAAATGGTCAAACAAAAAACATGAACCGAAACACTCGTGATGTAAGAAAATGGAAATCTTTTTGTTCATATAGACGAAGATTCTATTAAAGTTGCATACTTTTGGCTAAACAAGATTTAACAGACTTACAGCATCATTACTTATACTGTATACTGTGAGGACAAAAGATATTTGGTTTGAATCACACACGAGATAGTACCTGCAAGAATTTAAGGATACAGTCAAAGTCGAGCTATGCACCCCCACACCTAATATGGGGATTCAACAAGGGGTCAAAGGACCACTGATTCATAGATTATGACTTCGGCTATGTTCAGCAAACTAGCTGATAAACTAGCTGTTAGCTATATTAAATGGTCATATTTAAAAAAAAATTAAGAGGTATAATTGGAAAAAAAGTGGAAAAAACCCCTAAAGCTTATTGAAACGCTCTTCAAGTGGCTTATGACTAACCAAATGGGGCCTTTTCAATAAGCTCAAAAATAAGCTAGATTATGGTTGCCAAACATCGCCTTAAGTGGTTGCACTATTGAAAAAATTTAAGGAAAAAAAAGTAGCAAAAACTTCAAATTAGTTGCTTACAGGGGAGTAATATTCTCATGCTTAACAAAGAAAAGTACTTTTCCCACGATTGCAATTGTCTTGTTAAGACCATCCAACAGATTATTAACACTGGCCCTCTTGTATGATGGGTTCACTTGAAACCACAAAGCAAAAACACGGAGTTAAAACAAAAACCATCATAGAAGAGCATGTCTATGACAAATGACCAAAATTAGGTAGCTTACATCGAACTTCAGTGAGAGATGAAGCCAAGGACGCAAGTCGTTTGGCCTTAATTTGTCCCTGGAAACAAATAGTTGCTATCAAGTATTCAAGCTTTATACAAAGGAAACAGATCTTGATTCTTTCAGCCTTCGATTGGTTGAATTTAAGATACAATCTTCTAAGAATTTATTTTTTTTCATTGAAAGGTTAATAGGAAAACTAAAATGGGACTGAATTCACTATAACAATGAAACAAGCATTCTATTGATGAGCATATCAGTTGTGTTTTCATCCAGAAACTACATTATATACTGAACTATCAACTATATAGCCAATTAAGTACTCGTTGACATTTTCCTAACATTTTAAGAACCCATATTATTGTAAATCAAATATTCCCAAGTCTCAAATAATCAAAATCTAGGTCAAATCAATTCACAAATATCCCCAATAACCAAGTTGGGCATGTGTGATATCTACATACCAACGTGAGGGGGAGCTGAAAATACGTAAATAATAGGATTGTGATTAATTGGTGTTAAGAATTATCTTATAAGTTGTTAGCTTGTTAGTTCTTTATTTTTTGCTTATAGTTAGATTATGTGTTATCATATAAGGTTTTTAAGAAGCTATTTATGGCAGAATAAATATACCAATTTGACTACCTCAAACCTACATATGCATAGTTCACAAAAATTATTATTGAACGTGCTACCAAACTAATCTAGAAAAAATATTAGTTTTATGATCATAGGTTGATCCCGTGTTAACTTGAGCCCATAACCAGAACAATATATTGAGGGAATGGTGATTCCACAAGAGACAAAGATACCCAACAGAAAATCACAAAGTGAAACAGAAACATGATGAATCTCGATAAATCTCTAAGATGACTAAATAAAGAACGCTCTTCATATTAACGATATCAGTATGCATATCAACTATCGAGAAATAGAAACTCACCTTTAACAAACTGTCTAACTTGTTGAAAAGATTGACCATCTTTTGAACTTCCTCGGCGGCATTAAGACAAGGATCTTTCAATCCAGCGGCTTCAAATCCACTGAGCGCCCTCTCATAGTTCTCTAAATAGGTATTTACCTGCGTATGTGAAAAACGATTTTGAGACTAACACACTGGAGAACATAAAAGAAAAAACAATCATAAAAACGAGCTGAGTTGAGCTTGCTTAATATAACCTAGAGACCATAAGTTAGATCAAATCAAACACTTGTGAGTTGCCCCTGAAGTACCATTGGTGCGTCAAGTCCCCCCTCTCCCAAAAAACAAAAGGATGGTCTTCAGCTACAGTTTGATGGTCTCACGGAAATCATAAAAAGTATTGTTAATGCAAAGATCAAATTGACAAGTGCGGACCCCAAAGATTTGGCATAGTGATAACTCTATTGGAATCATTGCCTTGTGAGGCATTGGGTTTGAGTCCCATTAGGTACTGTCAACTCCAAATGGCTTAAAATTTCCCGATCCATGTGGAGGGGATGCTTTGCATGGACCCTGTGGTAGTCAGGCCAAAGGGGTTCCGGATATCACAATTATAAAGAGAGTAACTGATGGCAGCATAGAGAGGAGAGAGAAACTTACAGTAGCACAGTTGAAGTATAGGTCTGGGTTTGACTTCATGCTCTCATCTTTCTCCTGTTACATCATGGAAGGAAGAAATTAGGTCAACATTGCATATTTTCAAAAACGGTGATACAAATAAAGTATCACGAGGGATAAATTAGTTTATGTGATATAGACAAGGAATGGATTATAAGTAGATTTCCCACATACGGCATTTTGGTATGCTTTCAATGCCTGCTGTAATTTGCTGTGATCCCATGCCCCCGTCACAAAGAAACATGTAAGGCAAGCATTCCCGAGGTTGTCTGTCAGTAGAATACAAGGGTCAGATCACCAATATGCCTAAATGGTTGTCTCAAGTTAATGAAGAAATGAACGATAAAGTGAGTAAACTTTGATGATGGTAAATTGGTAATTGAATCAGCAAATATGCATGCTTAAGATCAATCATATAGTCCCTACTGAACAGATGTTAACATCATATGTGCTTCATAGACATGTTCTCATGTAAGCCATTGCAAACATGTAGCTGTCCATACAAACATGAAGGTCTGGGTGACTAGCGGGAATCGAACTCAAGATTATCTAATGTGATACAATCTATGTTGGACATACAAGTCTAAAAACCAAACTGACAAATAAATACATGGTTAATATGTGAGTTTACCTCATATTTATAGCCTTAATTCTAAATTTATAATTATGATTTTTCATCTGTTTATTTTTTAAGAAAAGATCAAAAACTGTCCCCACATTCCCTACCCCTCGGAGTGACATCTAAAGCAATTAAGGGAGGGGGGATAACAGTCAAGAGAACTGCAGAAAATATGGGATGGTGGTAAGCACCCCTGCTTCCTACTTGATAAAATACGCAATAAATCTTACACCATGAATTCCCATCCTTGACATCTAAAGCAATAGCTTCCTTTGCGTGTTTGATGCTTTCTGCAACAATTTCCTCCTGATTATCCACACCTACAGATGGACAAGAAAAGGCAAAGCAAGAACTTAAAGAGTAAGCATAGGATTGCATGCATATAAAGACTTTAGGGAAAATTTTCCTTTTTCCATATATGAAATTCCCAATCCAGAGTGATGCAGCAATGATGACTTGTACAGCATGCACATTGCCATAGATTAGGGAATTTCAGCTTTGAAAAGGGGGATAGCCTTTAGGAATACAGACTAAGATGAAATTAACATAAATTAAAGGATAGAGAAGTTAAACTCGGACAAGCTACAAACAAGTGTAAATACAAGGAAAAGAAGTCTTGGGAAAAAGTATCCAACAAACAAAAGGGAAACAAAATTTTATCAAACTACCATCATGAATTTTTGATGCCAGAGAGTAGAGCAGGTTCAAAACATCATTATGTGGATCATAATAGAATAGTTGTGAATTGGGCACCGTAATTTATGAAAAAGCGATGCTGAAACTTTTAATTCAAAAGCTAGGGGACATATGAGATAATCTAAAAGACTTATAGACCACATGATTTAGGCATCATATATAAAGCAAAATTGGAAATGGTGATGAACTGGATTAAATAATAGTCACGTTAACCAAAAGAAATGTTTCTTGCCTTGAGCCATTCGTCTTTCAAGCATTGATAATTGGCTTAGTATCCTTTTGTTTGGACCCTGTATAAGCCATCAAAAAGAAAAAGGTCAGAGGTTCATTAAGCGAACATTAGTGATATTTACAAAAAATAAATATATCTGACAAGCAACCTTGCTTAGAGCAAGGTTAAAGCAGTTCCTTGTTGCGGGTAGATCTCCCTTTTTCCATATACAATTTCCTAAGCATAGCCAAGCATCTGCAAGAGATGGATTCAGCTTAACCTGTAAAAAGTGAACAGCTGATTCAAAATGAGAGACTTTATTCAAGTTGGTCATTTCCATATAATTCAAGGATAACAATCTTTTGACTTACAGCTTTTGAAAGATGGTCTTCTGCTTTTTTCGTATATTCAGGGAACACATCTAATATCTTTCCTTTCAAGTGTTCATATGTTGCGCGTTGTGTAGGCACTCTCCTTTGTTCTGCACAAGATATCATAGTAACGAATTCATACATTACTACAATTGCATGAAGGGTAACCAACCACAACATGAACACTCAATGATAACATTTTTTATATGGCCAATTATAGAGCATATTATTCAAGGCAGTGTATATTGACTATGATAAAAGGGAAACTTGGTCCACCAAGGCTCCTCAGAGTGGTGAGGGTTCGGAGAGAAATCTTTGTATGTAGTTTGTAACATGATCTTTCAAAAAGGCCATGTGGGTCTAAGCGTCATACCTGGAGACTTGTTAAGGAATCAATTATAGTGGCTCTCCTGGGGAAAATAAGATGACCAGCCTTTATTGATCCCAAAAATACATATTAGATATTTAGAAGCATACTTTGGGTGATGAAATCTAATATATTAGATGTCTAATGACTGTTCAAATTTCTCTCAGATAAACTATACTAAAAGCATGTTCAGATGCATACAATATAGCATATCACTGTCTACACAATCAAATTACAAACAAGGACCAATAAGGTGTCCAGCCTTCAGTTATTCCACATATACATATCAAGAGAGCATTCCTGATATGTGAACCTGATCCATTAGATGCCCAACGACTGTAAATTTTCTCTTAAGAAACTTGGGAAAAGTAAATTCAGATGTTAGCAACGGGAAGCAGTATATGGCATAGCACTAACTCCGATAGCAATATCATATCACTCTGTCAAACATTTCCAATTCATTCAAGATCTCAATTGGATAATCAGATCAAGTTATTAGACTAGATCATGTGCAGGTTGGATGTCTCAACTAATCCTGTTAGCTTGTTACTACATACTTAAATCAACCGGCAAGAAACATTCTTCCCAGAAAAGAAAAAAAAAAACACAAGCAAGAACCAGAATATAAGAACCAATTAGAGGCGGAGCCAAGGTCATGGGCCTACCCCATTTTCCCGAAAAGCCTACTAGGGGTTCTATATTGGCATCATTTATAGTAGCATAGGACCCTTGTAATTATGCATGCATTAGGATTATTTCAATGTTCTGAAAGCATGTGCTCATAACTTCCACAACTGCATACTTGTCAGTTCAACACTCCCTCTGCCCCAAGAAAAAGGGTTCACTTTACAAGTTTTCTGTTTCACGAAAAAGAGTCCTTTACAACATTTTAACACGGATTAAATGCTCTCAAAATATTATTCCTTTGATAAATATAGAATAATAAGCCTTTTGTTAATTTGTAGTTAACCATCAGCAAAATTGTAGAAAAAGATTCTTTAACCAGATCAACTTCTAAACTTTCACCGACACCTTTTGGTATCAACCATCCTTTGATAACAACCATCCTCTTGGTATCAACCATCCTTTTATAACATGAGCAATCGAAGGTACAAGTTGAAGACAAGCAAACCACCTCAAGGAGTTGCATTCCATCAGCTTCTTATTAATGAGTATCACCGTAACCTTCTATCATATTTTCATTTCTAGACATATCTCTTGTTCTGTGGTTACACATCCATGTCAGCATTCACATTTTGCTACACTCATTGTGTGTACATGGTCTATTTTGGTGGCCAAGCATTCGGGACGGTAAACCATTATTGTCTTACTACCATCTCACTGAACTTGCCTTTTGTGTTCAATGGAGCATTTTGATCACACAGACCGTCTAAAGCGTCTAGTAAGTTAATCCACTAAATTCTTTCCCAATGACTAATATACTCAATGATCTCACAATCCTTCTGTAAAACTGATAATCAAATAACGAAAAAGTATCATTCCTAACTATTCTGCCAACATTGTGTGAGTCCCTATCAACATTGCTTCTGAGGTAGCATTTTATATGGTAAGATTGATCATTAATGAATCTAAAAGCTTTAGAGTCCAAGGTATTTTTCCCGACTCTTCAACTTGGTATGAACACCTTACCTGGTTTCATCAGTAAAACATGATATCACCAGTTAAAAGCTTATTTTGACGGTAAATTATCTATCTTGTTTATCTTCTGTGAGCTCTCCCATAAATAAGATAAATATCAGGTTTCAAGGCGGATACTTAGTGTGTTTATAAATTGTAAGACTCCTAGAACAAAATGGGTAGGCCTAAACTAGGTTGCTTGATGGGTGTTTTGAGAAAAGAGATGGTATCTTGCCTAAAAGGCTAAAAGAACCTAGGTACATGAGACCCGTCAAAAACTACGATGAGATTGATTAAGCTTAGGAGAACCTAGGAACATGAAAAATATCCATCCATATCACTAAGCTCTTTGTTACACTCCAATCAGTTAATCTCTTTTGACTACTTATCAAATGCATATTAGTCCTAATGTAACTCTATCATTCCTAACACCCTCCACTTGTACAAGTGCCACTCTCACCGGTGTCTCTAATGGTCTAAGTTAGATATGATTAAACCACATCAAATATAGTTCAGGTCTCCAAAATCGGTGCCACATCTACCTTCTCCCAGATATTTACTTGGTGATTGATCCACTGATTCACTTTATCCAAATTAGTGACACGTTAATCTTTCATTGCCTTCGCATCAGAACCTACCCTCAACTCTAATGCCACACAAGATCTCCAATACAAGTCACCACCTAATTCACCATCTTGTTGACTATAACTAACAGTATCGTCTTTGTATACAATCCACCCTGAGAAACAAACAAACAAAAATACTTGGAACATTCTTGTATGCTTACCCTCATTCCAATCCCCATTAGCACCATTAAAGTTGCACCATACGTATTCTATGCATCTAGATTAATCTACCTCAGTATTCTAATGAATCTCCCTGCAACTCTAGTATCACATCAACACCTAACCTAGCCGAAGCCGTCATGTTGTGACACCCGATAGCATGCTAGTTCTCATTTCACGTTCAGCTACGAGAACTCATAGCATGGAAACCAAATAAACAAACAACTACACAGTAAAGCCACTCAAATTGAGAGCCAATTGTAATATTAACAAGAATAAATCGTAGGGTTTTGGAGGAAAGTGTACCGGGAGGAATGGAGTCAAGGAGATTGAGAGCGACTTGAGATTGCGTTTGCAGTTTGGAGATTTTGTCATTTGGGTCTGGAGGAAAGTAAGTGTCTCGTATCCTGTACAGATCATCCGCAGCTTCTGCTGCCTTCTCCATTAAATCAGATGCACCTTCTTCTTCGGTGGATCGAGTTTCTCTGCTCATCTCATTACCCAAGATTTCAACTTCTTTTGATTTGATTTGGATCTTCCCCTTTTGGCTCGAGTACAGAGGTTGCTGTGTTCCACAGGCACAGTCCAAGTTCAGTCCAAAGTCTGCAATCTATGCAAGTTTTTTATTCAAGATTAACTTTTTAATTTCAAAATAAATATTTAATTTACATATAATTTAGGGCTTAGGTTCACGTGAGACTTGATTGTTTTTGTGAGGTCCGTGAGGTCACTTTTTTATACTTGAAATTTTAAAGCAAAACTTGGTGAAGTAAAAAAATCCGAACATTCACAGAAAAAACATTGTGCGTAAAAAAACGGTCTCACGAAAAAAGTTGGTCTCACATGATCCAAGGTTATAATTAAAGTAGATTATTTTCCCAATATACCCTAATCTGATCAACCAAAGTAGTCGACCCATCTTTCTTCAACTTCTCGCTTATCTCTCTGCATTCTCCATCGCAACACAACAGGTTCGATTTTTTTATCTCTCGGTTTCTCTCAGTTTCTCCTTGCTCGATTTCTTTTTTGCTTTTGTTTGCTTGATTTCAAATTTTGCTCGTTATTTGTTTCAGTTTGACCGATATTTTCTTTCTTGATTTCTTTTTCTGCTTTTTCTTGCTCGATTGCTACCTTCTATTTTTTTTTTTTTTGCTTGCATCGATTGCTACCTTATGTTTTTGCTTGCTCGATTATATAGCCATCGATTAGGGTGCGTTTGGTGCATGGGACAAGGTGGAACAGGACAGAACAGGACACACTTGTCCCATGTTTGGTGTGATTTTATATGGGACTAACTAGAACTAAGTGGTACAAGGGTGGGACACGGCTGTCCACCCTTTACCCCTGGCACTAACTAGAACAAGGAAAACTTTACCTCTTTACCCTCAATCGACTCCATCGCTTCCACCCTCAATCGACTCCATCG